AGGTGATTTATCAACATGGTCATACTTCATAAATTCAAAGCCACAAGAAAAATCGCCGATGGATGACCCCGAATGGCGAAGAAATGCATTATGGCCGGCTAATTTGTTTTGTGATCGACACGTGAAGTAAACCTACCAAGTGCGGCAGTAGTGATGCGAGAGGCGAGTTTCGGGGCTTTGGTGATCCTTAACAGGGATCACGAACTTTAGTTCCAATTGCCCTCCAGCCAAAAATGGCATCTCTTCTTCATAGTTGAAGAGCCAGTTACACCTTTTTCGTAACCTTGTCAGCAAAGGCACATGTCATTTGGACCTCACAACATTCCTGTTTTCTTATCTTACTGGTCTGTTCCTTACAGTAAACAAGGAGGAGCCTCAAAAGCGATGATCAGGTGGTCACGCACTGCCGGTAGAGGCATGGACATGGGATACAGACCGCGCATTCAAACCTGCTCCATTTCTGATTTCCACGAAAAAGTGGATAACTCTGGCCAACCCCATCAGTATCCCAGATTTTATGAACTTTTCTTTTCTGACTACTGGTTACTCTCCATGTCTCGGCACAATATCTGTCTCCTTGCTAACCAAATATTGGTGGCCCCTGACCAATATTTTGCAGATGTCCGATTTTGACATCACCCAACGGTCCCTTAGAATGCATATTACCTTGTTGAAGGGGAACTGTCCGATCTGGACGTACCTCCCTGTTCATACTTCATACGTCTAATACAGCACTTGCTCTGTAACTAATCGAGAAAGGGAAAACTACACTGATCAATTGTCAAATCTATTTTCTTTCTCGGCAAAGAATTATGCTCAGATTAGGTAGATCAGTCCCCACCCCATTCTTTTTTATTGCAACTCATTATATCGCTTGTCTCATAAGCCACGGAATTTCGGCAATACATATTTCCTGCATTCCAAAAAATATATAAATCGCCTCGTCGGCCCATTGACAGCCGGTGGCTATGATTTATAATTTTCTAGATGAGCCGGCCCTCTTCCTCTATATTCTCGAGCTCGTTGGTCTTCTTCATTTTATCCCTAGCATCACGCATTCGCATGGACTGCTCCTCTTGTTAGGCGCCTCCAGTCACTCAGATCTGCTGCCTCTCGTGCCCTTAATTTGGCTTCGAAAAGGTTCTTCTCGACCACCCTCCATCTCTTCTTTGGAGGTCCTCGCTCCCTTTGAGCTTCGGATTCCATTGCCTATCTCATCAGATGATCTCGTGTTCTCACAGCACGTGCTCATACCATCATCGCCGCTGCCCTCTCATCTTCAGCTGGATAGTAGCTGTCTGCAAGCTGACCATCCTCGTTTCTAACCCAGTAGACCCGTCCAACTGCAGCTCCTGCTTACTTAGGGTTCAAATAGATGTCAAAATGGGAACCTATAAAAGACGGGTAAAAAATGTAGTACCAAGCACACAATAGAGATCCCGCTAAGTTCGATCAAGTCTTAACGTGTTCCGGCGTACCTCTTTACTCGCGACCTTGTCCCTTCAATTGGCTGAAGCTAACTCAAACCCACATTTGAACGAACCATCATCTAATTACATGTCTGTAAACTGATAATTTTCATAATTTCTTAAAATAAAGATAAAAATGCTGTAGTGATCACCGCTCACCGAGGAAACATTCCATTCATTGAATCGGGCCCAAACCAGGTTTCTTCATGAACCAGGTACTTGGAATATCATCCCAGTAACCGGAGAGAATCCGAAAACCACTGAGCCAGACATTCCCAAGCTGATTCCACCCAGTGGTACCTCACAACGTTGGTAAAGGACCTCTGCGCCAGAGTCCTCAGGTCGCTCTTGGCTAACGTCTGATACTCCACATCGGAGCAAGGTCAAAATTAAAGCACAAAAGTCCACTATTGAATCGGCGGAAAGTGAGAGCATCTACCTCGAAATCTAGCCCATTTACTTTATTCAATACACAAATAGTAAGCGAAACCAAGAGTTTCTCCACTGATTACCATTGTAATTTTTTTGAATGCAAGCAAGACGTGCGATACGTGAGCTTGTCCGCAACTCCACACAAAAGTTTTAATCCGCCAGCAGGCAGTTCTGTTTTCATTAGCTAGTTGCTTCTTTCGGGTTGGTCCATTACTATTCCGATTTAGCAATGTCAGCAGAACAGCTGAAAGCTCAGTTTGAGGAAGCTCTTCAGAAATATAAGGAAATAGAAAATGGTTGGTTGATTCATTTCTACTTAATCGGGGTCGTTCCCTTTTTTTCTTTATATTTCTTCATTTCAGACCGCGAAAAGTACATCAGCAACCGGCAACATTTGGAAAGTCAATTGACTGAAAACACTTTGGTCAAATCCGTGGGTTCTTGCTTGTAATGTTTTTCATAATTTCGTTGTTTATTCTACAGAATGTTTTTTGGTGGGATTTGGTTTGAGTCGCAGTTTGCAATGAGTAATTGAACAGAAAACTTCTAAGTACTAGTGAAAGTCCCGCTTCTGACAGGACTTGAACTATTACTTTGACTCGCATAGACCCATAAAAGTTCCAGTTCCCTCTGAAGCCGAATTTTCCCTATGTCTTAAACAGTCGTGTTATGTCCCTTATGACGTGTAAGCTCTGCATTATAACTGTTTTAGTCTTCACATTTTTCTGTTCAGGAGTTCGATTTCTTGGAAGAAGATGCTAAAGTGTACAAACTCATTGGCGCTTGTCTTATTCGACAGGATATAGCTGAAGCTCGAGCAAATGTTGAAAAACGACTTGAGTACATCACTGCAGAAATGTGGGTAGTTAAAGTTATTCATGTTTTCCATCAGAATGAGATGTCCTGATAACCTCATGTGTTTGATTTCACTGGCTTTTTTGGGATATATTCAGCATTTCATTTTCTTTTTGTTTTTTTGTTCTCTTTTCATAACTTCTGCTTCTTCGACATCGAGTTCTTATCTTTTTTTATTAGTTTTACTGGTCATCTCAATGTGCAAATCAAGAAGCCCTCATAAAAAAGCTTGAATTCCCCAAAAGCTTCGCCTTTAGAAGTATTGAATCAGCTTACCATCAGTTTTGTAGGTTGTTGAAATGCTAGAAAGTCATGGCAATAGTTTGCAATATAGCCTTCCGAAAGTTCTTCGATTAATCTCCTACCATTGAAAAAGTTGCTGAAAGATTCCCACCCTTATTTCATAGGGGTTTGGTGCCGATGGCATCCCAAAAAACTTAGTTACTTTTGGTTGCGATAATTTTGCATCAGATCACCTCGAGTCAACAAATGCGGCACACAGTGGGACAGACATAGGCAGATTTTCCATCTCCAGCAACGACGATGCGCATCGCATACAATAGTTCAGTAGCAGTCCTAACTGCACTGAAACTTTTCCTTCCTTTACCTACTAGCCTCATTTTTTTTCAACCACTTCCCTGAACTACGCGACTTCGTTATAAATTTAGTTCATCTTTGCGAAACTGTTCTTTGTAACTAGTAACAGGGCGCCTGTTATAGAGCGGAGTTAATGGTAGTATGGGTAAAGCAGCTCAAGGTGAGGAGCTTTCCCCACGGTTTACAGTTAGTTTGCATTTTTCACTTTGGGAGTTGTCTAGGAAAATGACTAAGTGGTAAAAAAAATGGATACTTCCTTCAGTATCTTTACTATTTGTCAGTTATTTGAGTTACAATTGTGATAATTGCTACTTTTTTTCTTATACCGAGAGCAGTAATAGTCCACAGACTAGGTTACAACTCTTACTTATTGTTTCTTTTTTTTAACCTTGGACAAGGATTAGGTTGCTTGATTTCCAGCTTGTTTGCCCTTCTATTTCCTATTAGACGAGCAATTGATTTTTCCCGTTGTTCCAACTATTGCTGTGTCTCGGGGCTTTTCATTGCATGCTTTCAGTAAACGGGTGGACGATAATCTGTCAGAATCCAAAGAGAAGGCAGAAGCACAAAAAGCAAAGTTGCTTGAAATGCAGCAAAAGTTTGCTGCAGCGAAATAGCCGGCAGTATTGCCTACGTGACTGTTTATCTTCAACTGGTGAGACGTTTTTCCCCTCGTGAGTGTTTGTATTTTTCTTGCCAGTTGATCTGCTACTCAGCATTGTATTTTTTGCTTCACTTTCTTTGTTATTGAATGTTGTTATATTGCTTTAATAAAACCTACACGAATTAAAGTAGTGCTTTTAGTTATGAAGAAGTAGAGGAACTCTTAGGATTATGTTGTAACTTCATTGCTAGTGATGCACTTTAATATGGTTCAGGCCTCATCAGGTGAAGTACATATGTTCTTCGAACTGCGGGTTTCTGTCCCCAGGAACAAGATAGAAGCTTCGAATTTCTCACAGAATCGAGACTTTCCTGTATTACATTGTACATTGATTATTCACTGCTAGAGGAGCCGCGGCCATTTGGAGCTCAAATCTGTGCAGTGCATGTTTCCCGCCCCTATCATAAGCTAACTTTTTGCTTTTGATACCAGTTAGTTTCAGCTCAGCTCGGTTGGGACCCAATGCTCTCAGCGAGAGAGACGTCCAAATTCTGATTGACCCTTAAATCATTGCTTTGTTGCTCAGATTACATCCATCGCAGTAGAATAGTCAAGAGCGAGACGAATGGATACCTGGCTTAGGTCAAGTTGAATTCAGGAGTGTTATACCTTTCATGGGCGTCGTGTAATGGTTATTGTCTACACCGCTATCAGAAATTGTTGCTTGATTCTAATCTGTGATAGTGAACACAAACCAAAAGCTACGGTGTACAAGGGACCCGGGATGCTTTGAGAAGTGAGTCTGGAAGCATACGTAAAGCCCCACTTTGATTTTGCGCAGTTTGACCCACTCTTTCCAAAGAGAAAGGGTGGGGTGTCTAGCGCTCCGGCGGCCTCCGAACCGTTACTGTACGTCCGATAACGGAGAGCACTCCTGCTGCGCCGCCTAACAATGGCGACTGTTTCGTGACTGTACGCAATGAACGATGGACCGGCATCTCGCGATCAGTCTTATTGATTCATTAGGGACGAAACCTTTTTAGTGCGGACCGACGAACAAATGTTTGCCGTAGTTCATCAACACCTAACTTATAACAACCATTTAGTTTCAGGAAGGTGAAGGTGGAAAAGATAGAAAGTATTTCTTGCTTTTCGCTCAATCCGGTCACTAGGGCATTTCGTTTTACTACTGCCTAAGGAAGGAAGAGAGGTGGTGGACTCACTGAGCCTAGAATAAACATAGATGAAATGAGACGAGTGTTGAGAGGTCATCTCAAAACGCTGCTACTCACGTAAGAGTGAAAAGCGCCTTTTCTTGATTGAGTATTACGTATCTTCAAATCAAAGGCCCTTGTTACTGGCTCCATCTGCTCTGTCTAGCTCTAAAGCGCTCATATCATGGAGCTTATAAAACTGAACGACGAATGTGGAAACTTTGAAGACTTATTCCTTTCATTCAATATAAACTTACAAGGATGGCTAGGATTTAGGGCGCGAGCTTTATTTGTAATCTAAACTATAAGCCGTGATCTAAAGTAAATGGACCGTCGTTCTTATTTTCCTAGGGTAAAAGACAATGACACGCTCCCATATACGGAAGGAGAGACCTGTTTCATTACTACCGAATCTCATCATTGAAGGGGAAATCTCATGCGCTTATCTTCGTAAATACCCTTGCAGTAGTAAGTCTCATCTCAGTCAGAAGCGAAGGTGATGGGAGATAAATGGTTAATCGCGAGTTGTTCATACTGTAGGGAACCCTTCGGCAATGAACTCGCTGGTTCAGGTATGATGTGCGGTTATAAAGCTCCCATCAATTACTACAGCATAATTCCTGAAATAAAAGCGACCAAGCACTGAGACAAGCTTATCTATTGCTGCATAAGACCGAATTCTCTAATAGAAAGCAGTTTGAGCTCAGCCTCTTTTTTGGGTTCTTAGTCCAACAGAATTTTTTGTAAGGGTTTGGGAGGATCAGAAAGCTCGGGACAAAAATTATTGTGAAAAACCATGCTCAGTAACCATGGATGAGAGCCGCAGACAGTCTATGGGGGACGGATAATGGCAAAGAAAGCGAGCACATGGGTCAAATACCCAATCCGCTCGCCCTACTATGTGAATAAGCAGCCTTTCCCTGCCTTTACTTGCTGCGCCATCGCTATGCATAAGTCGCTGTGACTTAAAATGGTCAATCGTTTGACGGGATACCTCAGTAAACGAAGAAAGCGCTTCTATCCTTTACGAGGTTATTCCTATTTTTTAATGGTGCTAAGTTTTGAGAATCTCTCTACAATGTGATATGGCGATACCATCTCGCTCAACATTCCAGCACCTTTGATGGCTGTTGAACGTGAAGACGTATGAGTGAGGATCGAATATGGTCAAGAGTTGTAGAAATTCAGCATCCGCGTCACTGATGACATCTTTTGACATTTGCTTTTGACGATATTAGTTATCCTGAACGAATTCGATGACGCTCATGTAGAGATTGAGATTGTTGCAGTTAGGAAGGAGCCGATTATCAGAAACGCATCTGTTTCTGATGTCACTTTGTGCTCAGCAGAATATTCATTTTCGAATGTTCCGGACTATAACTGCGCCTAATTTGGCAAATCAACATGATAAAAGACCCAGCTCCGAAGTCGAGTAGGAGGAGGCGGGTGTTACTAGGAACTCCAAGAACATAAGGTAAGTAATGGGAAACAGGTTTCGAATCTCCACTTCTTACTCCCTAACCTGCGGCTCAAAGTTTTAGGCTTCTCGCAAGCATAATTAGGGCGCTTGCCTCAATTCAACAGGTTGTAGATGGGATTTGAAGTCCTCGATACATACAAGTTAGCGAGAAAACCTGAAACCTCACTTCTCCTACATTCGAGGCAGTAGGTACATTGTCTGAATTGTGCGAATAATGGGGAGTATTAGAGGAAGGGAGCCAGGTGAATGATGATGTTGCGCCAACATTTCGGGTAGAAGATGTACTACAGCCAAATAACTGGTCTGTGAACCCCTTTAGGTGAGAATTTACATCTCACTTTGGGAAGTGATGGTCATGCTGTCTCTGTTTTGAACGAAGAAATTCAGATTGACCAGAACTGTGCCTGTAAGTGCTACATCATCGGATCAACTGCTGGAATACAATCGAATATTCGGTTTTAAGCTATTATTTTGGATTTTCATTTATCGCTGTTTTGCCTCTTCAGGGTAAGTTATTTCACATAACGCTAGACGACCTGGTTTGAATAGTTCAGAGTGAACGACCTACAGAGCAAGCAATAGCAATGGGTGTGCGCTAACAACTGCATCTTCTGTCATGAGCCAAGCCCAATATAATGGAGTTTCTCGAACATCTAGCTCACAACATGGGTGGCTAGTTGGCAACCCAGTTTAGATTTTTCACCCTGACGTCGTATCTTTTCTGGAGCAAAGGCACATCGAACGAAGTGATGATTTTTTCTTTGGATCTAGTTTTTGAGGGATGTTGTTGGGTTAAGGAGTAGATCTGAAAACGCTTTGCCTTGTTTGTACCTTACTTTACTCAGCAATGTTCATTGTTTGACTAGATTTTTTGTTAACTGTTATTTCATCGCAGTACGCGATGCGAAAGTCTGACAAGGTTGGCGATTTATGGACAAAGCTTCAGCCTCGTACGGGACTCGAACCCTTGCTTTTCGGGCACCGTGTTCTTCACACATTTTCCACTGATTCACTGATTGACCTCGCCTTGTTAGTGGCTTATATACCATAGCTTATCAGCACTCACACGTTCAGAGTGATGAAGCAGTGAACCAATATCAGCATTAAACCGTTAAGCTGTAGACTCGACATGATCTAACTTGTTTCGACTTGATGTT